CTGTATCTTTAAAGGACCCAAAGTCAAGATGGTCAATCAATACTGTGTTGAACAAAAACCAAAGTATTTACCCAAGTCAGAAAAGATCAGGTCATCCAACAATGAGAATGTTGTAGAGTTGGGGATGGACTTGGTGGGGAGCGGCTTGCTGGTGAGAATACCTGTGTTAGGGCCAATGTCATTGACTCAAATGCCTTAAGTACAAAACAAGATCTCAGCAGACCATAACTGAATCATCTGTCAAGCTAATGCCAAGAGGATAAGGGTGCACCAGGGTCTGCTCACTGCATGAGGTTCTTCAAGTTAGGGGCAGGAAAGTACTTGTCCAACCAAGATGAAATAGGCACCCACAGGCAGATCACAAGCCACGAGTGTGAGATTTGGAGTTTTTATGTTCATTTTCTTTTTTTTTTTTGATTCTTTCACCATGAGACCCACAACCTGTTGATTAGCACCCAGGCCCCTGGTCAGCCTTTCTACTGACCAAGAAAACAAAAAAAAAAAAAAAAAAAAAAAAAAAAAAAAGGAAAAGCTGAATAGACATTTAGTGCTTAAGAAACAGTTCTGGAGGCTGGAGCCCTGAGACTCTTCAGAGGCTCTTAGTTTCCATAAAGATGTTTAGTCCATTATATCCATGGTGGGGAGTGTGGCAGCAGGCAGACGGGCATGGAGCTGGAACTGTAGCTGAGAACTCATATTTGATCGATGAGAGAGAGAGAGAGAGAGAGAGAGAGAGAGAGAGAGAGAGAGAGAGAGAACTGGGAAGGAGGCAGGCTTTTGAACCCTTAAAGCCCATCCTCAGTGACATTCCTTCTCCAATAACACCACACTTTCTAATCCTTTCCAAGTAATTCCACCAACTGGGACCAAGTATCCAAATACACGAACCTATGGAGGCCATTCTCACTCAGACCACCGCACTGGAGCAATTTATGGTAACCCCGGTTGTATTCCTTGATGGATCACATATTTCTCCAAAGGAAAGCGGGAGAAAGATGCTACACAGCAAAACAGAGGCCATGAAGTGTTCATATTATGACTGGAGCTATTCCTGCTCAGGGAAGAATTGTTGTGATAAAAAAAAAATGATGGTAATTTGAGTTTAGTCTGAAGTCTAAGCAGCTATTTAATCATCTGTTTCTTCAGAAAACAAGTCAGCATGTAGGAACTATGGATCAGGTGCTTGGAATAAATTTCCAATACTGTCAATCATTATCTTTGCTCGTAGTAGTTAGAGAACTTATCACAGGAGTCCAGTGAGAAATAAAATACTTAATCTATTTATTGAGCCTAGAATAATGCCTAGACTACAAAAGCACTCAATACATTGACCGTAGTTTGGTTTCTGTTGCTAGGCTAAAACACTGACCAAGAACAATTTAATAGGCTTTGTTTGGCTTACATGTCCTAGGACATAACCCATGACTGATGGGTAGACAGGAGCTTGGGGCAGGAACCCGAAAGCAGGAACTGAAGCAGAGATCATGAAGGAATGCTTCTTACTAGCTTGCTCTCCATTTCTTGTTCAGCTTGCTTTTAAACTACAACCCAAGACCACCTTCTCAGGAATGGTGCTACCCACAGTGGACTGGGCCCTTTCAAATCAAATATTAATCAAGAAAATGTCCCACAGATATGCCTGCTGGTCAACCTGATGGGGGAAATTCCTCAGTTGAAGCTCCCTCTTCCCAGATGACTCTAGTTTGTGTCAAGTTCACAAAACTAACTGACATAAAATCCCAGTTATTATTTGGTCCAAATTTTGCCCAAGGCATGTAAAATTTTACATGCCAAGTAATGTCTAAGCTCCTCACCACCCTTCAGCTCACACCAACTCTTCGTTTGGGTGGGAGGCTCCTATTCCAGTCACTAATGAGGAATACAGGCATCTTCTTACCTCTTCCCCCTCTTCCTCACTGCCCAGCTCTCAAGAGGCAGTGGGATCCTGCATGTTAATACAGTGTGAGTTCTATCAATGCCTTCCTTCAATTCCCTGTCTCAGTACCACTTTATTCTAGCCTTGTTCATGCTCTCATCTCAATATTACAGTAATCTCTCAAGGACCATGTAGCTCCCAGCCAATCTGTTCTAAGAGTGTGTGTATGTGTTCGTGTTTATCCACGTATATGTGTGCACATCTTCACGTGTGTGTGGGGTGCACATGTTCACGTGTGTGCAGGTCCACATGTGTCTGCATGCCTAAGGTCAGAAGTTGACATGGTGCCTAAGCTCTCTCATTGGATCTGGAACTTATTGATGGAGGTACACCAGAAGGTTGGCAAGTCCTGGGACCCTTCTGTCCCTGCTCACCCAGTGCTTAGATCACAGGTGACAGCGGTTTGCCTTACATGGGTGCTGGAGATCAGACTCTAATCTTGGCGCTTGTGTGGCAAGCGCCGTGCTGCCTGAGCCATCTCCTCAGCACCATTTTGTTCTAGTCACATGTCTGATGCTGTTTCTTTCCTCGGAGGCCTGGAGCCCATGTGGCATTCGGACCTTTGTGATCCTGTCCTCTTGTCTTTCCACTCTCATCTCTCTGCCCTCCCATCAGCCCACTCCTAGGAAACAAGCTGGAGTTTCCTGACCACAGAATACTGTTCCAGTGCTCGGCACTGCTGCTGTCCCTTCTGCGGGGTCACCACCCCTCCAGTTCCTGGACAACCCTCACCCACAGGCAGGTTCATTGTTTAAAGTGTCTTCACATCATCATGTGTCAAGCCCAAGCCAAAGCTCAGGAACGCAATGCCTACCACGCTTTATCTTTTCTTTCTTATACAAGACGTGACTCTGTGCTGTGAAGGGAGGGATGAAATATAGCAATTAAAGTTGTTTTAAGTTAGCTGTTGTCCTTTACTATTTAGGCGCCTCAGAGGACTGGGATGTGTAGTCCACCTTAATCCTCACAGACCCTGCCCAAGAGACTCTGGTGAAAGCCTGATTCTTAATTACACGGCTCCCTGTACACACATATTTAAGATAAAGTTTAAACTCATAAATTATTCACAGTAAGAGATGAACAAGAATTAATAGAACAATTAATACGGCATGATTAATTCAGCATGAATACATTCCCTCTCTTGAAGTATCTTACCGCCAAGTGTGGTGGCATACACTTTTATGATGAACACTCGGCAGGCCTAGGTCAGCTTGGTCTACATAGTGAATTCCAGCCCAGCCAGGGCTACACAATGAGACCATGTCTCAAATAAAGTAAATCAAAGTATATTACTATTCCCGGAATCTTCTATTTAATATATCAGAACGCAGGTAACTAAAGTCATTGAGGTCAAGCCAACCCTCAGAATGAGGAGCAAAAACCATCTAAACCAATGAGCCGACAGCTGCTTCGATCTAGTGGTCTACAGAGAGGAACCACTCATTAGTCATGGTGTTCTTAAAAAGACACATTGCTAAGCATGCCCACAACTGCCCAGGGGTAAAAACAGACTGCATTTACCCTTACACAGCTACTCAGTAACATGGAACATGGTTTATTCAAACACTTAAAAGTCATGTCTCACTAATGTACCTTTAAACCACATAGCGAGTGAAAAATAGGCTGCCTGCAAAAACAAGCAGGGGACTGGACCTCCGACTTCCCCTTGCTGACCCACCAATGATCCAGAACATTCGGAATCTCAAGATTTCAACACACACACACACACACACACACACACACACACACACACACACACTGAGGCAACTCCTTTGGGTATAGGTTTCTCATAGCACCCCTCCCGTGATGCTGAATTTCCCTAAGAATCTGCTCACCTATGGCCCTAGCTGCCGGGATAGCACTGTGTCCATGACTGTATACGTGGAACTTGATGAAGAGGCCAGAACAGACCATAGCCATGTAGCTGCTGTCTAGGGCTGACCTCAGCTCACCTAGGGTCACAGTTACTCCTGTCTCTACTGAGCTTCTAGACAGTGAAGTCTGTTTCTAAGAGCTATTATCCAGCCACTGTGAGACTTTGATCGTAATGTCTGGCTCCAGGAACCATCTACCTTCTTCAAAAGCTTCTGTATGTTTCCTAAAACGCTAATTTGGTAAAAGAAAACTATCTGAAATATTGTTAATTCCAGAGTGACTTACAATCACCCCATTAAATGTCCTGTTCCTACCAAGTAGTGAAAATAATAACCAAGTGACTATTGGATAACGAAACTCCTTTTCTACTGAGCTTCTGCGTCGACGCGCGTGATTTTAAGGGTTATCTCAGATCAGCCTAGTGATCCTGGCTGGTATGTTGTCCCACCAGACGCTTTAGGGAACTGAGAACTTGAATAGTTACTCCCTAAACCGCCTGCCCCAGTTTGACAACAGCAGTCTCATACCCTGGTCGTATTCTAACTCCGGGGATCCAACCCCACTTTTCAAAGGCTTCTAATAAGTCGCTCAATTAGAGCAGCCTCGTGACTCATTTTTGGATGCCCGTGTAAAAACAACAGCTCCTCCCTCTACTGAGAAATGGCTCGAACAAGTGAGAGAGTCACAGGAAGTAAAACTCGGGTCTCAGCTGATGTTCGTGGAGTCAAAAGGCCGACAGAATTCCGTGGTGTGGTTGCCTGAGCAAAGCCACCAGGTCTCCCTCCTAAACACAACTCCGGAAGGTCTTTGGTGGGAGCTGTTTCAAGGCGATATCTATGTTCCTGTATTTCCTGGCTCCTGAGTCATACTGTCAAGTTAAAGTCGAGAAGTGCTCCTTCTGATGTGTTTGAGAAAGTGGCGACCAAACCGAAAAGAGCACCTCCATTCAATAAAGCAGAATAAAACAAAACTCAGCATCGCGACTGAAAACAAATGTTGCTCCGGGTAGCCCTATAAAGTCAGTCTACATTCGTAAATTTCTGAAGCACTTCTGACGAAGCGTTCATTATATTCTCAAACATTTAAAAAGTTTTCGGCTCCAAGTGAGAAACCCAAAGCCCTCCTCCTGAAGGTAGGTACCTAGACGCTCAGAGAGAACCACACCCCAAACCCACCTGCTGTTGCTCAGCATCCCTGCCCTGCGTCAGCACGACCCCCACCCCAGCCAGCCCTACGCCCCGCGTCCTCGATGCTAAAAAAGTTAGGGAGCCAAGCGGACTACCGCGACAAAACAAACCGTGATCCGGCGTCCGGACGCCCGGAGAAAACCGGGGCCGCGTGTCCCGGCCGTCTTGCTCCCTGCGCTTCTCGCCGGCTCCGACTGCGCTTCTCAGCGGCGGTGCGAGCCCTGCTCCACCCCGACCGCATCTGGACGCCGCTGGCCCCGCCCCTGCAGCTCTGAGACCGCACAGCTGGGTGCCAGGCCCCGCCCCGGGGACGTCCTCCGCTAGGCGCGCCGCTTCCCGCCCCGACACCTGTCGCCCGGAACCCAGGCAAGAGCCACCTTCCCCGCCCAACTGCCTCTAGATATTGCGAGAGGCGGCGTGGACCACCCGGGAACTTCCTCTGTCTTCCCTCGCGCTCTGGGATGGAGAGATGGGCAGGGCGGGATCCGCCGGACTTTCCCCGGGGAAACCCTGTCGGTGCAGATGACATTTGCAGTCCCGAGCATTTCCGAGGCTGGTATGCTAGAAACCATTTCTGAGCGTGGGTGAGCTGCGCCGGAGAGGACAGGCGGGATGGCTGAACCAGTGGCTGCCGGTCACTGAGACACTGAGCCCCGCCTTCCACCAGCCCCTTCCCGCCTCCTCTCAGTGGGGGCACCCACAGGAGTATTCTTGGCACCTTACTGGAAACTCAGAAACAGAAAAGGGGTGTTCAGTGAGGAGGTGGGAAACAGCTTGACCAACAAATGATTTGTGCATCGACGCTAAGAAACCACCAAAGAGCTCGGGTGCCCAGAGCCGGAAGAATTTGAGGGACAAGATAGCACAGGAGGGACAAGATAACACGAAGTAGATCCACAAATGGCGAGGCCAGAATGACAATCTCCCAGGCAGAGCAATTTCAAGAAACTCTGTTCTCCTGGAAATGAAGCTTGGGCCGTGGAAACTGAGTATGGGCCATGTAGAGGGGCTATCACCCACCCATAGATAGTAGGGTGGAGGGAGGTAGCTATCACCACACAGAATTGGCATGCACTTCATCCAGGGCTCAAGGTCAGAAGGAACACTGATGCGTGCTCCTAAAATGCTGGTGGAGATGGAACTTTCCCCCTGATGTCTTTCTCCTCTTCACTCCTGTTATGAAGGTCAACCCAAATGAAGTCCCTTTAAATAAATCGCTCTAGCTCCGGGCCGGCCTGGGAGGTGGCTCCGGGGGTAAAGCCCTTTAGCTTGAGGATCTAAGTTAGAGTCCCCAGAACCCACATAAAAATGTTGGGTCTGCTAACCCATGCCAAGCTTTGGGAAGGAGGGGCCAGCCAGGCTTGAATCATTAGTGAGTTCCCCGCCAGTCGGAGACCTGGTTTCAAAGGAGGTAAATGATGAGGTTCCTGACTGAATCTGAGGTTGTCTCTGGCCTCCCCAAGTCCAGGTCCACTTGCAACCCGCCCACGCATGCCTGACCAATATTATCCACAGCTGTTGAAAGGTCACAAACAAAGAGGGAAAATTAACCTGCCACAAAAGAAGGGGACCGGGAGACTGAGAAAGGTCTCTTAGCAGTGGGAGGTGGGAGATAGAGTTAAACAAAAACAAAAAAAACCAGCCCTGGACTTGATGCTCTTGCAGAGGAACCAAGTCCGCCCACAACACCAACATGGTAACTCACAATCTTCCCTTACTCCAGTTCCAGGGCATCCAATGCCTTTCCTAGCCTCTGTGGGTGCCAGCCACACACAGTCCGTGAGGACAACACATTTATACACATAAAATAAAAAGAAATAAATCTTTGGAAATGAAAAAAAAAAACCCTAGAGTAATGTGACTAGAGTGTGGTCATTGGTTATCGATGAATAGGGAGTCTGGCTTATCAGCCAGGAGGAATCTGCCTGCTGATGTAAGATTGTAAAAGAAGGGGAACCAAGAACAGAATATATGGGGCAGCATCAGTTGTGTATGTGTGTGTGTGTGTGTGTGTGTAAATCTAAAATTGTTCTAAAAACAGCTTTAAACTCATGCTGGTGTGTAAACAGAGGGCCTTAAGCATGGAAGGCAAGTGTCTTTTCACTGGCTCACAATCCCTAGTACTCATTATCTGAGAAAGAACTAGAACAAGGATAGTGGGTGCTGTGTGTTCTGAGGGAGGAAACAGTATCCGTGAGTACTTTGATGAGGACCTTTGGGACCCAGGACAGTGCAGATGTTAAGATGTAAAGAAGTTCCTGAAGCTGGAACGTACTTGCCTTCCAGGAGAAGCGTCAACGCAGGTGGGGTGCAAGGGGTAGAGTGACAGAGGGTGGGCTAAAGACGGAGAGGAGGCACGCGGGTCTTCATGGTCCCAATCCGGCTTCCACTGAGATGCGACACACTGGCGAATCTCTAGCCGACGGGTGACATGACGTGGCTTTTCCACCCTCCACGGTTCTGTTGAGAATAGATAAAGACCAAGAGAAGTGTGTGGGTACGTTAGGAAGCACTGTTAATTTTATGTCTCAATTTAACTGGGTCACAGAGAACCCAGATATTATTCTAGGCGTGATCATTAGGTAATTTTTAGATGGGATTAAATTTGAATCGGTAGTTTCAGTAAAGCAAATTGCTCTCCCCAATCTAACTGGTCCTTACACCAACTCCTGAAAGCCTGGATCAAACAAAAACCCTAAGGGCCAATTCCTTTGTCTACCTGTCTTTGAAATGAGACCTTGAAATCCCCTTGGTTTTGGATGTAGGCTCAGACTAGAGCTCCCCTATTGGCTCCTGTGCTCCTCCCGCCTTCAGGAAAAGTTTGGAACTGTATGATTACATTTTCTTGGTCTCCAGTCTTTTGAGTGAAGCTCTTGGGACTTCCATAAATAAATGAGCCAATTCCATATAGTGCACAAGGCATGTGTATAGGACAGCTGTCTGTATCTGGTATCGGTTCAGTTTCTCGGGAAAATCCTGCCTCCCAGGAAACCATGGTGGTGGAGGAAGTGAGAAGCCATCAAGTTCTGACCATATTCACAAGAAGAGGACTCACCGGTAAAAGGATAATGGGTATGAGAAGGGGAATAAAAAACGAGTCAAAATTTTGCTCAGAGCATGTAGTAAAAGTTGTAATGATGTGGGAATAGAGAATGCTAGAGTGTAAGAAGTCCATTTCGGTGTGTGTTTGTGTGTGTGATGGAGGAGGCAGACTCCCGAGAGATGGCTCAGTCAATAAACTATCTTCCAGGAAACCATGAGGATCCACAGCATACATGTAAGAAGGTGAGCACTGTGGCTTGCTTCTGCAAACCCAACAGAGGATGGAAAAGTTGGGTGAGGATGGGAGGTGGAGACAGATGGATCCCTGCAGGTCATCAGACAGCCTAGCTAATTGATGAGCTAGGGGTTCAGCAAGAGACTGAAAAAACAAGGTAGAAAGTCAGGGAGGAAGATACCCACTGTCTTCTCCCATGCGCACCCATACTCATGTGCCCATACAAAGCCATATAAAATTTGTTCCCCAACAGACAATCACCCCTGAAACACACACACACACACACACACACACACACACACACACACACACACACTTTTGGAGAACAAGCCTCATGTAGCACAAACTGACCTTCAACCTCCTGTGTAGCAAGACTGACCTTCAACTTCTGATCTTTCTGAAGCAGTTTCCTGGTATGCTGGGATTACAGGCATGTACCACCATGCCTGGTTCTATGTGGGGAATCCATCTCAGAGCTTCATGCATTTAACAGGGCCCCAGATTTTAGCAGGCCTCCAGACTTTAGCAAACTGACTCCATGATGGAAGTGCCATTCAGGCTATAAACTCAGCATACAGACAGCACCACCTGCCAGAACTACAATAAAGACTTAATCCATCTACATGCGTGGTTCTGGGAAAGTCCCTAAATGTACTAACCTTGTTTTTTGGCTTCTGTTGTTTCTGCTTTTGGCTAACTGTTGTTGTTAACTGAAGTGTGTCAACCCAGAACATGATTTTCGTGTTGAAAAGCTCATCCTGAGAAAGGCCCAGTCCTACACTGGGATGCCAAACACCCAGTGTAGTCCCCAGCTGCTAATAAAGATTTTCTATTGCTTGAAACCCATATCTGAGCAGTCTCTAGTGAATTCCCAGTAGCGATGTGTGCCAGGCAACCCCTGTACCAACTGAGCTACATCTTCAGCCTAAGAATTCTATGTTTGACACCTTCCGGTTGTCAAGTTGTCAAGTGGGCAGTTGATCAGAGGAGTCTGAGACACGGCTGGTGTGTCTAATGGGTTCATGGACCCACTGATGCTGAAGGACAGCAGGTCCAGCCGTATAAACTGCACAGGTCACCTCTACAGCCTTTGGCAGAGGCAACTCTGCACCTCTCCACCATGCAGTCATCGTGAACTTCTATTCTCTTCCATGATGGCTTTAGAACTCCTTGAAGAAAATCTACGGCTTTTTTTTTTAAATAACTGTGTAACATGAGGGGCCTGCTTGTTGGGGTTTCTGTCCTACCTGGTACCTCACAGCTGGCAAGTCCCAAAGAAAATCACACAGAGAGTCTGCAATACTTATAAACTGATTGGACCATTAGCTCAGGCTTCTTATTAGCTCTTGTAACTTATATTAACCCATTGTTCTTATCTATGTTAGCCATGTGGCTCAGTACCTTTTTCGGTGGGGCATGTCACATGTTGCTTCTTCGGTGGTCTGGGCTGGACTCCAGGAAGAGCTTCCTTCTTCCCAGAATACTCCTGTTCTCATCACCCTGCCTCTACTTCCTGTCTGATTGACCCACCTATACTTCCTGCCTGTCCAATCAGCATTTATTTAAAACATGATTGACAGAATACAGACAATTCTCCCGCACCATAACTGTGATAAAGTATATACAGCACAAACTTTATACTGCAACAATGTTGTGATTTACAGCTGAGCGACATCAAATATATTCACACTCTTGTGTCATCTCCAATGGCTGTGCATCTCTAGAACTTTTTCACCTTCCTGACTAAAACTGTACATTAAACACGAGCTCCTACTCTCTTTCCCAGGCTTCAGCAACCACCATCATATTTTATTGCTGTGGAAGTGTCCTTTTATGACGGGTTTACTCTACTTAGCATAATGCCTGTAATGTTCACAGTCCTGTAGCATACATCCAAATCCCATTCCTTTTAAACCTCACTAGCAGTCCACTGTATACCTACACCTAATTTTCCTCATGGTTTCATACATTGGGTTGCTTCTACCCTTTAGTTATTAT